CTTCCGGATTCCTGACCTTCAGAAACTGTGCGGAATAATAAATACTCCTTGTTTTAAGCTGCTAGATGTTGAAGTAATATGTTACGTGACCACAGATAACTAATACACAGACAAAATCCAAAATGACAAAGGTGGGAGGGTTTATAGACAAAATGCCATTTGCAAGGAAGATAGGAAATAACTTTCTAAAATATAACCACATTTATTTGAAAATCAAAGAAAAGAATCACGCATTTGACTTCTTTAACAAATGTTCTACCATGTTAAAACATGGCAGACATTTTTTTCTCTCAGGCTTTTATATTCATTCCTCCTAGGAACTTGGGACAAGTGTCCCAGGACTGCACTGAAAGATATCAGTCGTGCACTACACTGTAGTAGGTTGTGTATGACATCCATTTAGTATTGTGGACTCGGTATTTACTATCTGACCCCACATACCGTTGACACATAGTAAGTCATAATTTTCCCAAAGCCTGAATTGTCTTCACACTTTCTGAGTTTGCCTACACGAGCAAGTCACCTAACTCAGGAACCAGCCCCGCACCAGTTTCCCCTACAGGTCAACGCAGCCTTCCCGGTCCCCATCATAGAAGCAGTCACTATCAAGAAGTGTACAGGCAACAGTGGTTTTCATACATTTGAAATATTCTTGGAATAAAATATCACGAGACCAAGAGATTGCACTAATTCATAGCCCTCATAGGCAAAAAGTCTGGGTGTTAGGACAAAGCCCCGGCACCTTAAGTTTTCTCCAATGTCAGAGTCAATTTGTTGCTTATTTGGGTCAGTGTCAGAGTTTAGAATATAATTTTAGTTACCTGTTTCTGTACAAGAATCACATTCCTGAAGCCAAGCTGTAAGCCGTCATATCTTCATGACTTCTTGAAGGGGCTCTCATATCTTAATCAAAACTGAAGTCCAGATCCTCCGTTTCAGCATACATTAGCTGCTGTCTGGCATCTATTTCTGCTTGTTAATAGCGTCCCAATTTTTATTCCCATAACCTCCCCTCCCCAATACAGCGTGGGGGTTTTTAGGGATGCTCGAGGGGTGAGGCATGTGGTTGAGGTTTGAGATAATATGCCTAATTCTGTCACCGGGCCACAAAACTGTTACGGGATGAAGTGACTAATTAACTTAAATTGGTCTAGTTGCAGGGATGCCCAGGTTACTACTGACAGTTGTGAAAGACTCATTCTTTCCCACTGAATGGAAGCCTCCAAACATAAAACTCCAGCAGTTTTGAGAAAACATGATGAGATGAAGAAGAGAGAACCAGTCTGAGAATCAAGTCACTCCATGAAAAGCAGTGCTGGGAGATTGATCCTGGCCAACTATTTGAGCCCTTGATCAAACCATACCTAAAGCTAGATATACTACAGAAGTGTTATTAATTGAACCATGAAATTTTCTTTAGTTTGGACTGGATTCTTGTCACTTGCAACAAAATATTCCTAACCACTAAGGCTGCCCTGACATGGCAGAATTCCAACGGCAGGTGTATAGATTAAATTCACCTTTTTGGGACATTCTCCATACAAATACAAAATTATGATCAAACCAATGTGTCTATTAAAAAAACAACTATTTATCCACAACACATAATACACTAAGTGTCACAAAATTTATTGACTATAGCAAAGCAATGAGAAGGCTGGACTTTCAAAGCCCTTCAAATCACACCTAGGAATTCTCTCTTTACCTGTAAGATGAAACTCAAAAACTGGTCAACAACATAACCAGGCTAAAGCGGGGTATAAACCAGAGCTCAGGATGTTACTGAAACACAGGTTATCCAAAGCTCCTGGCCTTAACAGTCTTCGAAATCAACCACTTGATAAAAATCTTTGCAAAGAATGTTTTGTGTCAAAAAAAAACAAGAGAACGTCTGTTTGTGTGATGGTCTGGGTGACTGGTGAGGACAAGAAGCTTTAGGATTCTAGGAATCTCACAGAGCCCACCTTGGAAACTCCCCATCATCTTCTTACAGGCTCATAAAAGTCTTCCCACTGCCCCAAGAACTGCCGCTCTTTCTCTTCCCTCCCTCCCTCCTTCCCTTCCTTTCTCCTTTCCCTTCCTTTTCTTTCCGCCCCCTTCCCTCCCCTACCCTGTCCCCTCTTCTCTCCTCCCCTTTCCTTCCTCTCTGTCCTCCTCTGCTTCCTCATCTTCCTTCTGTCTATTCTCCTTCTTCATTTCCTTCCCTCAAATCCATCTGAGGAGCAAGCCATCTTCTCACCACCCTTTATATTCCAAAGCCTTCCTATTCCCCAGTTTTCTCATATTCTGCCCAAGCTAAAACATTCTTCACTCAGCAGCCAACCTGACTTGCTGAGCTGGAAACGCCTGCATCTGCCCCCCTTCCACCTCTTTCACTCACGCCCTAGGGCTCCCTCCGCCCTCATCACAAGGTAACCTTGTAGCCCAGTGTACGTGGATGGACTTCTCAGCACACGTCTGTCTGAAACCATTTTTTTCACTCCTACCACAGCACTGACCTCGAAGATGTTCATATTTCCTCTGTACTGCATCTGTGCAGAAATTCTAATAACAGCTTCTTAATTGAGCCTCTAGAACATAATTAGCATGCTTTGGGATAAACATTCTAATTGTGCTGTCCTCTCCTTGAATAAATAAACTGCAGATTTTCCCGATTATAAAAGAAAGAAGAAAAAGGAAAAAAATTCATTTGTGGACAAATGCTCTTATGAAATGCTTTGTGCGGGCAATTGGGAATCAGGAAAGGAGGAGGGACACATGCATCTTTCATGTCCCTGTTACATTTTTCATTCTAAAACGCATGGTCTTAAGGATGTCAGAAACAAGCGAGAGAAAGAAACAAGTGATCTGTCCTCTGAGCCAGGAAACCTTAAAAGTTACATACAAGTACATTTTGGAAGCTGGGAGTGGCTTTTTACCTTGGCTTAAAAAAAACAAAACAAAACAAAACAAAACAATAATTTCCCCAGTTCAGAAAATGGATACATATTAATACTGCTCATTTTAGTATAAAATAAGCCACAAATTAATTCTTTGGTACCATTGCAATATACCTCAAATACAAATATATACACACACGTACATGCTAGCCACACAAACTAATATCAATTACTCCACCAAAATCATTTAGCAGTGGAATATCTCCCTTTCATCCTCTATATTCCATTCCTAAATCTCTTTTCTGTATAGAATGAACCTTCAGACCAGCTGATACCTGATTAAATGATGACCCTCTGCTTTTTGAGTAAGCCGAACATTATTGATTTATTTAAAAATAACTCCACTTCTCTGCTTTTCCTACTAAATCACCGTGGGCATAAGTAATGTAAGTGGATTACAGGAAACATTAGCACCAGCAATCGCTGTTGCAAGCTACGAAAGCCACAGCACAGTTAGAGACTAGATCCACAGCGGTTAGGAACGCAAATGGAGCAAAATCGCCTATTGCCACCTTGTCAGCATCACTCAAAAGAAAAAAGCACAGCTTCTTCATCAAGCATGAAACCACAAATGAGCTAAAAGTGAACGGACCTGCCAGGGTTCCTCACTGATGCCTTTTATCCTCCATAATTTTAAATTAGCCAGACGGTACATGATGTTACAAGACAGAACAGACCCCTTGGTCTGTAATTCACAGTGACTTTAAGGGCTGATGACTACGGGTGTGTGATGATCACTAGACGAAATACCTCTCATGAGCCCGAGCATTAGCACAGGCAAGTCCAGATACGGCGACATCATTACCATCATTTGTCTTCACGCAATAGACACAGTGCATAGCTTTCACCTTCAGAACATCTGTTACTCGTAAATGCAGAAAATTTGTTCAAGTATTTCAGGAGGCCCAATGACCCACAAATTTTCTCTTAACAAGAGCTCATCTTATGTTCTCAATTTATGGTTTTTATTGTGTCACCAACATTTCCCCCCAGACATTTCCCAAGCAAAACCAGAGACTCCAATTCACGTGACTCTATTTCGAGATACCCCAAATGATGACTGAATCATAACAAATATTCCATGTATGCTGGCTGAAAATGTCAATGAAGGGATCTTTGACTCTCAATACTAAGTTAAGTGCCTTATATGTAGTAGACTTAAACAAAAAGGAAAAGGAAAAAAAGCTTGTTAAATTTAATTACATTAGGTTTATAGAAAGGTTGCCAAAATGCAAACACAGTTTCATTGAATTATCTTGCCTTAAAAGTCAACATATTTGATTATGTTTGGGGCAGAAATGCAATTAACAACCATTTAGCTACTGATCTGTAGTTTCAGGGTCTCCTTACTGTAATTTTCAATTTGAGAGAGACTATAGTCCAAATAGGGTGTCTACCTCAGGATGGATTTAAACTATGACACCTCCACAAATGGGCAATCTCTGGCCTGGGCTACAAACCCTGAGAATATAAGCAATGAGCCCACTGCATCGTCTTGATGAATAAAGGATGATGCTTGTTCAGTGATATTAGGAATATTATCCATCAGTTAATTACTCCCAAACCACTTTATCTACTCTAGTTACAGAAAACTACCCTCCCTCCAACACCCCCCTTCAGTGTTCTCTTCATTTCTTACCATTTGAGTCAAGTGATTAGAAGATCTTTAGTAAGTACCATTTATTTACATCAACTGAGACCAAGGCCTGCCTGCTTTGAACAGATCATCACAGAAGGCAGGAAACTCGGTGCCGGGTATGACCTGATATAACTATAAGGACTTCCTAAAGCAATTTTTGGTTCAAATTACTTATTAAGTATGTACCATGCACCATGTGGTGTATCTGCACAGAGCATACAGACAAGACCTCTTATTTTATGAGCTTACATTCGAGAGGAAGCCAATAATCAAATAACAAAAAAGAGGAAGAAATGCTGTGGTAAATAATCAGTGAGATCCAGTGATAACTATTCACCACTAGGTCTTTTTGTTCATTTGTTTTTAAGCATCAACCACGGAAGAAAGCACTGGCATTAGCATCAGTTAAATGCAATACTCACCACCACAATTACATTTGCTGCTGGGATTGGCAGGTTTTCCACTTCAAGGTCTTGACCGGCCATGGCCAACAGATTGAGAGACGGGTCATAGGCAGGTTTGGGAAATGCTGAATTAACAATTTGGTGGTGTTTGCTTATGTGAGTTTCGGAAGAGGAATGGTAGCGATGTTTATGTATCTTTTGTGGAGCTATATCCAGGCTCTTCTCAACGTCTTGTGAATGGTGATAAATGAACGCTGGTTTTCCACTCTTCTTCCGATGAATTGCCAAAAAGTGATCATTATTTCCTGAAAAGCACCCTGAAAGGGGGAAGAAGCAGAAGTGAAAATCAAAGACCTTATTCAGTAAGATGAATAGAATATTTGATAAAGAGAATTATCCATTCTTAGGGAGCTGTAAGACATGTGAAGGATTTAGATCAGTCAGTCTCCATTTTCCTCCCTTGCTTCGTTATCCTCAACAAAGAGAACACACTTGGTGGTACGGAAGCATCTCAGAGACTTTGTGTGGACACAAGTGGGTATAGTTTGAAAAAGTCCCATTTCTCCGATATTCCTGACCTCTCGCAGTCAGGAACTTCCCCCTTTCTCTAAACGCATGGTTCTAACATCCTGTTGAATGCCTCTTCCTGGATGTCCTAATTTTTCCTCAAATGACAACCATCTATATCATATTCAAGCCTTCCTTCCTTTAATCAATAGCATTTCATACAATTCTTATTTTACACTTTTTTTTATCCTGCTCATATTATAATCAACTATGCGTAATTAAAAAAAAATTCTTGTAGACTATTTTAAGCTGACTGAGGGCAGAAGTCTGAGTATACTCATTGTGGTAGCCACTTCCAGGTGTGCAACGATACCCGTTCTCTTCTTCTTACTCAGTAAATCGGCCATCCAAATGAAGCAATACAGTCATATTCCTTCTGTTAGGTAAGTATCCATTGACTTGAATACTCTCCTGTTTGTCATTGGCCACGGGAGGAAACAGATAACACACACATGTGAGTCAAAAGAATATCACTAGGTCAAACACCAGTTAGAAAAGCAAACTTAAGACCTTCTATATAAGATGATGAGCAGAATGAACAGATCACAACACAGTCACACCACCCACATAGTGCCTAGCAACTCGACGCACGACAGATTTTCCCTCAGTGTGCCTATAGCAATAGTAAGCTGTACAAATGCTGTCTCGTTACAAGAATTCCGGGGTACCTCGAATTCTTACTGAATATTCGTAGTAGAGGAATTGCTAGTTTTTACAGCTTTTTCCTCCATCAAGCCTCTGTGACCAGCATGTATTTCTAGCACCCTCAGCAATTCTCTTACCAATATGATTTCAGCTTTCACTTAGGGATATGAAGACAGGTTTATTTTTCAGTTGGCTCAAGTGCTTTTGCCTTGATGGGATAGCTTGGGAGCTTGGGAATCATTGGGTACCAGTGACTTTAGGCTTTTAGAGCATTCAAATCACAACTACATTTCATGTGGATTCTGAAATAGTAATAGAAACCAATTCTCATGTCTCCAATCGTGAGCATGCTAAATAGACTATAACGTTTTTTTAAGAAATCAAGCCACCATAATTTGCCAAAGAAGATGATCAGACACTGTGATCTTTGTTTCTCTGACTAAAATAGGAGTTCCTCTGATTTGGAAGTGTTCTTGAGGACCACTGAGGTAGTATCTGGAATAAGATTTATCTTCTCTGTCTTCAAATGTTACTTCTCTATCACCTCCCTCACTTCAACATTATGAATATACTCATGTAAACATTTTGGAAATGCTAAGACTAAGAAGCCTATTAAATATCAAAGTGAAGATGTCAAATTAGAAACTGAGTAAGCGTATATAGTTCATGGTTGGAGAGGGAGAGATTTGTGAATCATCCAATACAGATAAAATTTAAAGCCGAGTAACTGGATATTGATTAAGAAGAGTATATAAGACAGAGTCCATGGTAGAATTACAAGATTTAGAGTCAAGGAGCTGAATGAAAATGAGCCAACAAAGATGTGTGACAAGGAATGGCAGTAAAGTAGGAGGAAAACCAAGAAAGAGACATTCACAGGCGATTAAGAAAGAAATGTTTTAGAGCCTATATGCATTATAGGGTCTTAGATGGAAGCAACTGAAAAATCAATCTTTTAGTGATGTCTCTAGAAACTAGGATATAAATGGAATTTCCACGTGTTTCCATGGAAGGTAAGTCCCACTGAAGACATACTCATACATTTAAAAAATTACAAAGCACCCAGAGACTACTGCCATGAGACATGGTCAGAAGATGGAGAAGTGGGAAGATTCCTGTCTAAGAAAGAATAAACTGAAACAAAAACCAAAGGGGGCTTCAAAATAAGTTAATTTAAAAATCCAAAGAGACAAAAGAGAAAAGTAAGGGTAAGGAATTTGAAGAAAAGAGAACAGGCATGTTTCAACCCAAGTGGAAATGACAGAAAAGAAAAATACTGTAGTTAGAGAAATTCAATGTATGGGTTAAATAGTAGAACAGACACCACTAAAAAGCAAATTAGTAAACTGGAAAAGTTTAGGTAATAATTCAGAAAGCAGCACAGAAAAATTAACAGAGGAGATATGAAAAAGGAGGTAAGAGACTGTGGTAGACTGACTATTCAGATGGGACTCTGATCCACATCTACTGGCATTCACACCCATTGAGAGTGAGTTAGATCTTGCTTTTGACTTACTTCTACCCAGTAGATAAGGCAAAGGTGATGGAATGTCACTTCTATGATTAGACTGAAAAAAGATATGACTCCTGTGTTGCTGGGAGACTCCTGCTGACTTCGATGAAGCAAGTTGCCACGTTGGAGAAGTCCACGTGAAGTAGGAGGCATCTAGCCAAAAGCCAGGGAAGAACTGAGGCCCTCAGTCACAACAACAATTGAGGAACTGAATCCTGCCAACAATCATGTAAATGAGATTGGAAGCAAATCTTTCGTCAGTTGAGTCTTCATCTAGGAGACTAGCCTTGGCCACACTTTAATTGAAGGCCTCTGAGAGACCTTGCAGCAGAAGTCTCAGTTCACCCATGCCTAGTTTTCTGACTCACAGATACTGAGAAATAATGCATATGTATTGTTTTAATCTGCTAAATTTTAGGGCAATTTGTTTATGGAGCAACAGGAAATGAATGCAGAGAGGTTGAGTGATATTGAGGATAACATGATTCAAGAAATGAAACATTAGAGAAATTGAACAGTTTATAAGATTTAAGGAGGGAAGTGACAAGATAAAATTTCTATCTCTCAAAGATCATTCTGGTTATACAAGAAAGTGGAGTAGGCAGAAGCAAGAGTCAGTGTACAGGTACCAGGCAAAATATTTCAGATGAGAAAGAGGACAGCCCAGGTGAGGCAGCAGTAGAGGGGTGGAGCAGAGATGAATTCCAGAGTGTTAAGATATGGGAATTAACCAAAAAAAAAAAAAAAAAAGAGAGAGAGAGAATAAATTCAATGACTGAATTAGTATTCTAGGAAGGAACCAGCAGTGGATAATTCTATTTCTAGTTGGCAACCCAATGTATGGGGTGCCCTTTATTGAGAGAGAGAAATGTCAGCCTGTAGTGCCTATAATATATAGAAGCAGAAACATCCAGAGAGCAATTATGTTTACGTGGACCTCAGGAGGAAGTGCTGGACTAGAGATCAATATTTAAAAAACGTACGCATACCGACAGAAGACTGGGAGCCTGAGTGACGAGACTGCCTCACAGAGACTTGTGGAATCAGAACAATGAGCCTATAGCCAAGACCCAGAGAGCACGTTTAAGGAGCAGTTGGAGGAAGAGGGAGAAAAATCAGAGACTGTGGAAGTATAGAAGGCACGGGAGGAGTGAACCAAGGAGTCTGTGACTGGCAGTGCCCAGTGTCATTGACAACCTGAGCGTTCGGACAAGACAACCCTGAATACCTGCACAGGATTTACTGACCGAAAATTCATCAATGGACAGCTGAGCCTAGACAGTCAGAGGACCAGATTCAACATGAAAAAGGTTTCGGGACAGCATCCTAGAAGCACAAAGCTAACCGTTCTCCACTGTGGAGTCCTTGAACAAAAATAAAATAATTTTAAAGGGCTTAAAATGGTATGGGAGATTCTGAGCCTGGGTAAGATGAAGCAAACTCATTCTGTCTTGTTACTTACTTTAAATAGAGCTATAAAACCTGAACAAAATGTATAAAACAGGTTTGAGAACTCTGGAATGTAAACAGCAGCAGAAGAATTGAGGATGAAAAATAGAATTCAAAATTTCACAGCATCAGCAGTAAGTTGACCATCTCCCCACCCCCAGTATCCTCTAGCCACATCATAGTGGACAGGTGTAGGGCGCAGACAAAGACAGCTCCAGGAGAAATACTCTAGCTCCAAAAGACTAGTTCTGAAAAGAAAGTTCAAAGCTGAGAGAGACTGCGGGAATCTTCTTCTATTCTCCTCTTTCTTTTCTCCACCCCATGCAACCCTGTGGCAGCAGTGGGCTTGGCCACTAACCAGAGTCTACAGGATTCAAAACTCTGCAAGAGAGGAAGCTTCCTCTCTATCAGTGAAACTGCTATTCTAAGAGAGAAGAGCCAACCATCATAGCTTTTTCCTCTCTCTGTCCTCCAACCACTTGACCCTGGACTCATCTGCATTTGCAGAAGTGCAAGAAACTCATATCAACTACATTAAAGTGAAAGAATGGAAAAAATATATATCATGCAAATACGAATCAAAAGAAAGCTGGAGTGACTGTATTACTATCAGACAACATAGACTTCAAAGTAAAGAAAACTAACAAGAATAAAGATGTACATAATGGTGTAATATACACAAGAATACATAATAATCCTAAATGTGCATGCACCAGCCTAAAAGAAAAGTTAATACATGAAGGGAAACTGACCAAAATGAAAAGAGAAATAGACAAATCTACAATTTTTCGGATTTTAACACTCTTCTCCCAATAATAAATAGAACTAGTAAACAGAAAATCAGCAAGGGCAAGGTTATAAAAAAACCGAACAAACACCATCAACCAACTGGGTCAAGTAGATATTTACAGAACACTCTAAACCAATGCTCTAAAAAACTCTTAAAAAAAAGAAACTCTTAAAAAGCTCTAAAAAACTAGTTCTGAAAATACACACACTCTTTTCCAACGTACATGGAACATTCACCAAGATCACATTCTGGGTCATAAGGCAAGCTTAGCACTTTTGAAAAGAACAGAAAATATGCAAAGTATATTCTCTAACCATAATTAAACTGGGAATCAATAACATAAAGGAAAAAGA